AAGAAAAAGAGGATATATTAGTAAAACCCAAAAACAGACCCACCCCGAACAGAAGCCAAAGCGCGACCAGCAACCAGCCCACCCAACCCACAACCCCCTCCTCAAGCCACTAACCCCTCCCCTCCTCCCCTCCTCCAGGTGCAAGGGCTCCTACTACGGCGCCCGCTGCGAGATCGACGGCGAGGTGCTCGGGGTGGCCGTCGGGGCGTCAGTGGCGGCCGTCATCATCATCATCCTCACGCTCATCTTCCTGTGCATGTGGAGGTAGGTGGAATGTGGGGAAGGCCACATAAAAAAGAAAGAAAAAGAAAAGAAAACGCGGCGAGTGGGCGTGTTTTTTCTTTCTGTCTTTCTTTCTTTTTTTTGGGGGGGGCGTCATGTTGGTGGGGTTAAGTTTTATTTTTTGTTTGATGTTTTCTTAAGAGTTCTCATTTATTTGTTTGTTTGTTTTCTGTTTTATCGGTTTTCTCCTTGTTTGGTGGGTTTATTGTACTGGGAATAGTGGAGATCGCTGGAAATTGTGGTTTTAGCAGTGGCGGCGAGCCCAATGGTCATTACGTCTCATTATTGTTTGAACGCTGTTTCATATATGTATTATTATTGCCATTGTACTCAGAAGTCTCAGAATTCGTAGGACATGCACAGATGAGTTACTTCAATTTCGGTAGAGAAATGATATAGAAGAGATTACAGTAATTCATGATCCCACGCTTCTCCGCCTCCGCCTCCAATTCGGCTCCTGCCACAAACCCACCCGACTCACCCTCCTCTTCCCCCTTCTAACCCTCCCCCTCCCTCCCCCTCAGCCGAAGATGGAAGGCCCAGGACGCCAAGACGGAGGTCCTCGCCCGAGGCGCCGCCGCAGGAACGCTTTACGGGGGAGGGTTCGCCGTCAACGTGCAGAACAAGGGCATGGCGAACACGGGTCCTGCGGGTCAGTACGGGGTCACGCTGGAGGACAGGATGCGGTGGGCGCACATCGCGGAGACGCTCACCAACCAGAACATCTACGCGGTGAGTCGGGGGCGGTGGCGCAGGGGGCGTCGTCGGTGTCTGTTGTGGTTGTGAAGATGTTTGGGTCAAAGTTACAGGGTTGTTGTTGTTTGCGTGTGTGTGTTTGTGTGTGTGTGTGAGTGTGTTGTTTGCGTGTGTGCCTGCGCATGTGTGTATGTGTGTATTGTTTGCGTGTGTGTGTTTATGTGTGTGTGTGTGTTGTTTGCGTATGTGTGTGCGTGTGAGTGTGTTCGTGTGTGTGTGTGTGTGTGTGTGTGTGTGTGTGTGTGTGTGTGTGTGTGTGTGTGTGTGTGTGTGTGTGTGTGTGTGTGTTGTTTCCGTGTGTGTATGTGTGTGTGTGTGTGAAGCATGTGGGTGGGTAAGGAGTGTGTGTTCTTGTGTGTATATGTGTTCATTCATGTTTTTTGGCTGCACTTGCTATTTGTGAATGCGTGTTTGTTATGAATGAACGTGATTTACGGGGACTGTTTACGCATGACCTTATTTTTGTCATTTCTTTTTATTGTTATTACTTCTTTCCACTATTGCCTATTATTTGACTGACTAAATAACATTATTTCATATAAGTAATTTTTAACTTCAAATGTCATGAGAGGACATTTGATGAGAGAGAGAGAGAGAGAGAGAGAGAGAGAGAGAGAGAGAGAGAGAGAGAGAGAGAGAGAGAGAGAGAGAGAGAGAGAGAGAGAGAGAGAGAGAGAGAGAGAGAGAGAGAGAGAGAGAGTAATTGCCTGCGTCAACAGTAATTAGTTTTAGTTTTAACCCATGACTCACCTGTAGACGAAAGTTACTTAGAATTGTCTGTAGTAGTAACACATTAATTCCGACTCGACTTTGAAGTATTTGTGACTTATTCCGTAAGCTATTAGTAGTATGTTATTCTTTTGTTGTTCTGTATGCCTTCCATTCACTATTGTAGCCTTCACCTTCTATTCCTTTTTGATTGACATCCATATTGACTTAAGACCTCGTGTCGACTACATTGAATGGCACCTCGGCCCCGAAGCGACCCCCTCTGACCTCTGACCTCCCCTGACCTCCCTCGCAGCCCCAGAGCTCAGAGCAGGGCGGCAGCAGCAGCAACGAGTACCTGGCCGCCGGCGCCGTCCCCGCCACGGTCAACACCAACCCGTTCTCTATGTATAACCGCGTCACTCGCGCCCTGTCCAACTCGACCCTCGGCCGCAGGAGCGAGGGCATCCTGGGGCGCCTGAGGAAGCTGGTAGGAGGCGGTGGCTCCTCCGCCGCCAAGAAGAACGGCGCCGGCATCCCCCCCTTCATGATGGCCGCGCAGCCGGGGACGCTCAACTTCCAGCAGCTGTTGGCTCTCCACGCCCAGCTCTCGGCTGTTAGTTCCTCCTTCCCTTCCCTCCGAGCCTTCTCGCCTCCTGTCTGCCGCTTCCCTGGGGCTCCTCCCGAAGGGCTTCCGGTGCTTCCTTTCCCCTCACGACTCTCGACGCGGCACTGCTCGCCTTGGCTAGTTCTAGCACACTTGACTCTGGCTAGTTCTAGTAAAACCTCCTTGTCTGCTTCTAAGAAAATTGAGATCGCAAGTTCTGGTACATCTGACCCTAGCTAATCCTAGTACATGCGACTCAAACTAGTTCTGGCACACCTGACCTTTTTTAAGCTTTCGGTGATATGGCCTCGTGTGCGCTGCAAGTACCTCCTGATCTAGACTTCGCGCTTCTTTAACTTTCTGTGACAAAGCACATGCCTTTGCTAGTGACTAACAGCCTAGAAATCTGTCCCTTCTTGAGCGACTTAACCGCACATTCACTTTTATTTTCCACTGACATCTTTTAAACAGCATTTGACAAAACATTCCTTTGCTACTACAACTACCATAAACTATTAAAATTTTCCTATTGCACAGGTCACCAGCACGGATAACATTACACTAACACAAATTCTATTTACCGGTTTCTTTAGTACAATGTCACACAGTTAGACGTGTGCAGTGTCTAAGAAATGTATTGTGTGCTTAATTGTCAGCGTAAAGAAATTTGGTCCAGCGTAATTAACCTACTTATTTTAATGTTGCTTATTGTAAAACTGCCATTTTCCCTTTTTGTTATATATATATATTGAAATATGGGTAATTTGAAAACATACGAACCACTAATATAAGTAGAATAATTTTGTGTATATATGAGCCTTACTGTGCACATATATTTTATAAAAAAAAAACAGTTCTATCACCCGTTTTGCTTCCGTTATTTTTGCACACTACGTTTTTTTCTGCTAATGTTATTGTCCTTATCCTTATCTGTGTTATTATTGAACAGCAACCCGAGCAGCTGAGGGGCATGGCCGGACCCTCCGCGTCGCAGACCAACACCACGACGCCGAGTAACCTGTACACGCATCAGAGACAGGTTAGTATACTTTGGGGTTTAGTTCGTGTGGTGTATTTGTTATCTTGCGTCTTTTTTTTCTTTTTTAGGTGGGTATGTTGTTCGTGTTTAATGGTTTATTTGTTGGGTCTTTGGGGGTTTTATTCTCTTATTTTATAAGGGTTAGGTTCGGTGTGTATGTTGTATGTTTACTTTCTGTTTTCGCTTTCATGTCTGTTACTCAAATTTCTCTCTCTCTCTCTCTCTCTCTCTCTCTCTCTCTCTCTCTCTCTCTCTCTCTCTCTCTCTCTCTCTCCTCTCTCTCTCTCTCTCTCTCTCTCTCTCTCTCTCTCTCTCGTTTTTATTACCTCCACCTTCTTCTAAGTCTCCGTCTCCTTCAACTACTCTGCATCTCTTTCTCCCTCGTCTCCTCTTTCTCCTCCTCCTTCTCCAAGATATTTACACCCGTGTTTTTTTACGCCAGATGGCCGCGGCTTCATCTTCGGGATACGCATCCTTGGGGACTCTGGGATCGGCCGCGGCGGGTCAGTTCGGCCAGCAGTACGCACCCGAACAGTTCGGTCTGCACCAGCTCAATCCTGTCAATCTGATGGCCACGATGCAACACCAGCAACAGCAGCAGCAGATGCACCAGCAGCAGCACCACCAGCAAAAGCATTCTTACATGAATCAAAAACAGCAGCCGTTCGGAAGTCAGTCGGTCTACGGGCAGTTCGGACCCGCTTCGCTCAACACGCTTTGTGAGTTCGGACGGAGGGTTCGTTGCAGTTTCTCGGCGAATGCCTTGGGGAACTGCAACGAGAAGCATTGTTCGTAGACGTACTGTTGTTATTTTCATTTTCAGTTGATATCATAATGAAGTGTTAGTGGTAACGATGATAATAGTAGTATTTTCTGTTACTGTGTTTAATGGCTAAGTAAAAGTAATAAGAGTGGCAGTAGTCTAAACTCGTGTCGCCTACGAGTCGAATCCAGTGCTGAATAGTAAAAAGACAATTCATGATATTATTTAGGAAAATTTATTTATTCCCTGTGGTTTACATATTTACTTATATTTTGTTACAACAGTTATTTTCTTGTCAGTTTTTGTCCACTAATGACAACCTTAACTACCCCAGCCCACGGAGGCGTTTCGCGCGCACCGACCCTCGGCGCCCGCACGCCCATCCCCCTACACGAGGGCGTGGGAGGGGCCGCCACCATAGGACCCATGGGCGGAGCCAGCGTCGCCACCACGGCGGGGATGGGCGGCATGGAGAGCTCCGAGGACGAACTCGATCGGCCGTACCAGCTGCCGAGGCCGAAGTCCCGAGGATCTCTTGGGGTGGGTACTCTGGCCGCCCACCACTCGCGCATCGCCAGGAGCTATAACTCGCTCCTCTTCTGAGAGAGAGAGAGAGAGAGAGAGAGAGAGAGAGAGAGAGAGAGAGAGAGAGAGAGAGAGAGAGAGAGAGAGAGAGAGAGAGAGAGAGTGAGTGAGTGAGTGAGTGAATCCAGACTGTGAATATGAATTAGGTTGTTTCCAATACGCTGTACATGAATGCTCATTTACATAGATTATTTCTGATTTCTTCTGACCGAAATAATTTAGGCCATTCAGATCCAATCTGTTAGGGTCATCAGCATTTATATAGTGGCATTATCTTAAAAAATGTTCACAATTAAGCTAGATTTTCTTGCGGTCAGTCCTTTTATCCATTGGTCAGACAAGTGCAATATACAGTACATATCAGAATAGGAAAGCAACTTCTGCACAAGCTCTCCTATAACTATACATATCATTTGCTACTTCTCTTCGAGCCTGGAAGTGGGAAGAAGCAGAAAAGGTCTTTCGGTACCTCACGCAAGCAGGCTTAAAGAGCACACTATCACCGTTTTGTTTAGTTTTATTCCTCTTCTGAACTGTCTTGTTTTTTTCACTTTTTTAGACGATTCATTGACTGAGATGACGTCACTATCGAGTTCTTCATAGGCCTATTTTCTCCATTCTTTACTTCCAGCATGCCATCTTTTTTTCTTTTCTTTTTTATGAGATTTTCCAGTGAAACACTGATAGACATATACCCTCTGATAGTTAATTTCAAAATTCAGAAGTGAAGCTAAGTTTTCAAAATAACAAACATATCTATGGAGAGACTAGTTTTCGCCAAAAATGAGAGAACAGTATTCAACACAACAGAACGCAGACATCATAAATAATCGACATCTTTGGTTTAAAACAACAACAGTTAAAAAGATGAAAACAGTTGCATTACCTTTATATTTTCTTTCACTCTTTTCTCGCATGCTGTGGGGCCTGTGGCTACGGATTTCGTTTGCAATACCTTTGGTGCTAACTGATATACCAGACTTCATTGCCTTTGCAACAGCTAGAATAGTATTTAAGAAAATGAAGGCGTTTCTAGGTGCAATTAATGTTTTTTTTTATAGAGTTGTGTAAATAACGATTTATGAACTTTAGTTATGAAAAACGTAGCCGTTGGTAATTTAGTAAAAAAAAGAATCTTTTTGATAATGCAGTTTCATTGTATGTGAGTGTGCATGTCTCTTTTGTGTGATTGTCGAGGTGTAAAAAGTGTTCTTTAGCGCAGGTAAATGTAAATATCTTGTAAATAGGTAAAGTAGTTGTATGGGATTCAAGAATAAGGCAATTTTTAGGAAAACTACCTCACTTGCAGGAGAGAGAGAGAGAGAGAGAGAGAGAGAGAGAGAGAGAGAGAGAGAGAGGAGAGAGAGAGAGAGAGAGAGAGAGAGAGAGAGAGAGAGAGAGAGAGAGAGACTGATTCGTATTCTTGATTAGATTCAGTGTAGATATTCTAGACTCGGAGTAGCTATTCGGTGTACAGTTTCTAGTAATGTAGTTCTCTCTTGTTTTTGCTCCTTATACATCTCCTTGAGTTTGTATTGTAGATAGCTGATTATACAGTTTCTTTGCGAACTCTCCCTTCATTTTGTCTTTTCAAAATTGCAGCATGGATACGAGTGGAATATTTCACATCCGTGAAAAGAAGAAAAAAAAACAATCTGACTTCACAATACTTCAATAATTTTTTTTTTTTTTTTTTACACGAGTGTCAGATGTCAACACTAGGGCGCCTTATGTATGTTCTAAAATAAAAAAAAATGAAGGCAAAAAGAGAGAGAAAAAAAGTTCGATTTACACATCCGATGAAACTAATGTTTCTTTTTTTTTTTCCTTCCCCCTCCCTTCTCCCTGGCCCTCCCCCCCCCAACACAGGAGTCCAGCGACATATACTATGAACCAGACGACCTTTTACGGACCATAGGACCTCCTGACAGACCTCCTCCTCCTGTCCCGACCTCGTACCACCCACAGACTTACAATTTCTCGTTCTTACACTGACTTAGAGAACCCGAGAGACTGGTGTACTAGTCTGTTTGAATATGACGACTGCTGTTTTTTTAATTATGGTTATTATTGTTATCACTGCTGGGTATTTATCTGTTTGTGCTATTTGTCTGAGGAGGAAAGCTCCTGGATTTTATACCATTTGCTTTGATAATTCTTTTTATGATTTTTTTTTTGTGGGATTTTGTTATGGTGTCAAAACTGGTTTGACATAGTTCTTGATTTTTTTAGAGTAATTACTCCATGTCTACCTTTGTGCTTATACTGAAAAGCACCATACCCAAATGACCTCATATGACTTACCTTTGACCCAGTGGACAGTTGTTCGAGTTCAGTGGCGATAATACAAGCACAATGACAATGACAATTAATCTGTTATGTATTAGGTACCAGACATTTTGCTAGCAGACGAGACTCACCCTTACCCCCTTCCTCCTTAAACGAAATAGGGAGGGGGTAACGACCTCTATAACCACATAACAAAAACCATACGATCGACCTAGCAATTCTTCAGCACGTCTGTCTGCCAAGTTGTCTGTGTACTGCTCGTCTGGAGCTCCTGATAGATTTATTTTTTCTGTTTTAATCGATTTATGATTTGCTGTTGCTATAAGGGAAGAACTTCTGCACACAACCTGAATGAAAAGCTAGAAAGAAATGAAGGACAGTGTGCCTAAGGAACAGATTTCAGTTGTTCTGAAAGCAATACAACCAAACTGTTGGTTCTGTGATACTAACGATACTTCCATATACGAATAGGCATCGGGAAATCAACTTTTTTTTATATATTAGGTTTTCTGAGTACTCACGATACCCCAGTGATGTGCCACGACGATTCGAACGAGCGGCCTTCTTGTCACTCCAGCCAACGACTGTGAAAAACGACCGAGTGAAAAGAAGACGACAAGAAAAACACGTTAAATTGCATCTTCATGTGATCACATTTTTTCTTTGGTTTTGTTATCATTTATACTCACCGATATTATTATGCTGATATTATTATCACACTAAGCTTTAAAGTCTGATGTAGACCAAGCTTAGCAGATTTATGATATTTAAAGCGTCAAGTGGATGTCTCTATTTATGTTACATGTATGTTTTAGTCTCTTGCTCTATTTATCTATGTATTTATTTATGTACATAAATGTTTTAGTCCTAATGATGCTCATTTTTCTTTTTAACCGATAATTCCCCTTTGTCATAAAAAATGTGAGTCTTATAAGTTATCTTTCATCTTGTTGACAACTGTTGACGATCTGAAGCCAAAATCATTCAGTTTAAATATCTGATGAAATGAACAAACCAAAACAGTATTATATTTGACTCGCATGGCAGGGCTGTGTGTTTGGACAGAGCGCTTACCTGTTTTATTGATAGATATTGTTACAATTGGCTGTTTTCATGTTGCATCCCATGCTGTCTCCTTTGATACAAAGGCAGTCATTCTGTTTTGGAATAGGAGGACCTTCACTGTGCTCCGTGCTGGATGCGTGTATATCCATACAGACATACAATTGTGTAGGTATATGTGTACCTATATTTTATATATGTATTTGTTACTTGTAAAATACTATGTACTTAGTTTCCCACCCTCCCTCCCTGTCGATACACAAGATACGTACACCCTTTCTGTACCCAAAAATAATAAAAATAAAAAGATAAAGATCACCTTTCCCAATACGAGCACAAAATTAAAGATATTTCTTTTAATGAAGTCATAATAGTTTGGCATTTGACGTCGAAGCTGAATGACAGACGCTCGTGTTTCGATATCGTCTACGGTGTACCATCTAAGACCTCCCGTTAGGTCTCGTTGGTATGCATATATAGTCTATGGACTTGCCAGTGATATGTAATAATACACAAAAATGGTTCTTGATATTTTTTTATTCCAACCTTTTTTACATTACTATGGTATTTATATTATTTTAGTATTATGTTCTTATGGAAAGAAAGAAAAATCATTTTGGCACAAGTTCGTAATTTAAATCATCTGTCAAGAATTATTGAGGTGTGAATAACAGGGCCTTATAAGAACAGGGTAGTTTATGTTAAAATAAAAGTCAGTAATGTGCTGATATGTGCAGTCGACAGTTCCAAGACAATATACATATATGATTGTAAAAGAAGGTAGTCTAGGCATAGCTTCAAGTGAAAAGGAATGCGAAGTAAATAAAAGGTTGATATTCATGGAAAAAAGTGTTAGTGAGATTATGCAGAAATAACGAAGAAAGGATTCTTATATTGCCTTGTTAAAATATATGGGTCTGCGGCAAAGTGATCCATGCATCTCCATACGCGATAAACACTTAGTTAGAAAGTTAAATTAATATAGTTACATGTGCAGTTGGATGACTAGAATCAAAAGTAAACATTTACTCTCATTTCAGATTTTTCTTAACGTTCTTAGTTACAAATCAGTTACATTGTACTCGAGATATGTTGAAAGCTAAGTTTGTTTTGTACCCAATTACAGTCATGAATATACAAAGTTTGCATTATTTCATGTATATATTTATTATGTATACATTATAGAATTTTTCTATTGAAATGCATCCAGATTCCAAATATCTGAAATGAAGTACAAGTGCCATATATATCAAAAAGCTTACAAAACAAACGTTAAACTGAATATTCACTGCTTAAGCTATAAATATTTAGCAAAGATAAACAGTCCGTACAAATTCTACATACTATTCAAACCAGGCATTATGTTTATCTAAAGATTCTTTCATATCAGAAGTTTCTCCGACGGAATGGTAAATCATTACAGACAGGAGCAGGTTCTCAGGCTAAAGAAAGGCGAACTGGCGTCATTTGAAACCGTGGCAGGGATTTCAGATGAATTCTTTATGGCTGCTTCTTGAGACTCAAAGATTACGGTGGACCAGATTATGCTTAAAACGAACGTATTGTGTATATATTATCTGAGTAAAAAAGTATTTTGGAAACGAGTGAAGATCAATTTTGCAAGTACAACTTAGCATAGTTGTATAGCCTTAATTCACTGTACACTGTTGAATACAGGCGTATTATATACCAAAGTATATTTTATAATTAATATGGAGAGGGCTAAATGGAAAAAAACATCTTTAATTCGCTCGATCCTAATATGCAGCACAGAGGGTAAAAAGTATTAAGATTTTTAACAGATTTTGAAATTCGATAAGTTTAAAACTCATTTTTTTACTGGTATTGCTTCAAAAACACAAAACTAATGACCTTATTTATTCTTACTGTACTAATGGGATGTAAACGGCTTTTACTGGAAGGCCAAATCGTAGGAAGACATTTTAAAACGAGGATTTGAACGGAGTGAAACAATCGGACAGACATATTCGGATTTATACAGCTGATGGCTAGTATAAACCCAGAAGTTCAAATGTTTTATGTAAATTGCTCTGATATCTTACTTAGGTAGTTAGCAGTGAAAAAATAAGCTCATATAAAAAATTGTGCACAAAAGAACAAAACTAATTAAAAACAACAACAACAACAATAACTACATCAACAAATACATTTATGAATAAATAACCAAACATATATAATACATTTATACACGTACATACTTTATGTGCATATGCTATTCACGACTACAGATTATCCTTTCACATTTTACTATTATCAGAATACAGTTCCATTATATTCAAAATATAGATATTCATCTGAGATCATATAGTTGTAGGTAATGAGGAAAATTTATGTTTTGTATTGTATTATGAACATAAATCACATAACCTCTTCATATACCAAGGTTATATTCTTGTGAGGAAAGAAAACGTTTATAAAGATATCAACAGTGATATAACCAAGTACTGAGCAGAGTAGTAGTAGTGATAATAATGATAAGGATAATGAGAAAATTAATCATTATCTCTACTATCAAACAGGATAGTATTCGCAATGATGTATTTAAGAGCACTCATCCTTCACCATTATTATTAAACTGGTTATTACTATTATTACCATTTATCATTGTTATTCAGTTACCACAATCATTTTATACTTCAAGGTATCAAGTGATTTTCCCTTATATACGTAATTCCATCATTTTGATTATTAAAAATATTAATTCCACATTTCCGATTTCCTGTAGCGTGAGAGAGAGAGAGAGAGAGAGAGAGAGAGAGAGAGAGAGAGAGAGAGAGAGAGAGAGAGAGAGAGAGAGAGAGAGAGAGAGAGAGAGAGAGAGAGAAGAGAGAGAGAGAGAGAGAGAGAGAGAGAGAGAGAGAGAGAGAGAGAGAGAGAGAGAGAGAGAGAGAGAGAGAGAGAGTACATTCCTTAAATTTATAATTAACACACCTGGTTGTCTGTAACCATGAAATATTTAACTGCTACTTCAATCCTTACATCATTCCTTATCAACTTACGTTCTCCATAGCCATTTATGTCACACTTTCATTTATTACAGTTTTCTTCGCACTGTTCGTGAATTTCTTTCACTTGTGACGTAATTCACTCACTTAAAATAATGTTGGAACGTACATAATAACAGATCAGATAGGCCTACAATACATTAAGGCCATTTTGCTCACACAGCCCGACTAGAATTTGAATTAAAGATTATTAAGAATGTAAAGAAGCTGTAGTTAATAAGTTAAAGAAAGGAAAAGAATACAAATAATTGAATGTGTCTTGTTTAGCGTAAAAAGAAAACAGAGAGAAAAAAGAAAAGAAAATGAAATATGAATAAAGAACAAAAACAGAAAATCAATGGAAGATGATTAAAGAACAAAAAAGAGAAAACCTATGAAAAAGGAATAAAGAACAAAAAAAACAATGAAAAATTAAGAACAAAAAAGAAAAACAATGAAAAATAACTAAAGAACAAAAAGAAAAGCAATGAAAGATAAACAAACAACCAAAAAAGAAAGAAAAAATGACAAATAATTAAATAACAAAAAAGAGAAACCAATGAAAAATAAATAAAGAAAAAAGAAAAAAGCAAAGAAAGATAGACAAAGAACCAAAAAGCGAAGTGTCTCAACCACGAGGGAACGGCGTCTCCCCACTACCCGTGCTGCTGCAGCCTGGGCGCCGTGCGATGCCTCCAGTAGATGTCTCCCGCCCGCCACGTCTCCAAGCGGGCGGGGTTCAGCTCCACGCCCGATTTGGAGATGTGGGCGTGGTAGCCCCTCGAGGCGAACCACTGGATCATTCTCTGCAAGTGGGCGGGCCGACAGGGTGCGTGGTACTTATGGCGGTTGTTGGACACGACCGCCCACTCCATGAAGACGTAGGGCGCGAAGTGGGACGCCAGGAAGCCCGTGCCGCCCAGGATGGCCTGGCACTCCCACCCTTCTGCAGGCGTGGGCGGAGATTTGATTTTGAATTGTTTATTAGGATAAATAATACATTACCCAAACATACCCAACTCCTTTGGAGTGACTGGGTATATAGCACATTATAGATCCTTGGGCAAGATCTTTACAATTGCGTTCATATTATTTTACAGATGCAAATTGTTTATGTATCCTTTAAAAAATGTTAATCATATGCTGTCATTGGTATCACTTATCTAATTCCTTTTCTGAAAGGTTCTATGTATTGACATTCCATTACATAGTGTTTCTAATTATGCCCTAATCTTTCACCACACTCTACACTTTTTAAGCGAGAGAGAGAGAGAGAGAGGACAGACAGAGAGACGAGAGAGAGAGATTATCATTATACCTATCATTATCAGCATCAAAAGAATTAACGTTGTGTTGCTGCAGCTACCGTTACCTCACTGCCCAACATATCCTAATAGTCATAGCGCAAGTCACCGCATTGTATCCATTTTTAAATGTTATTATACCTGAGTTTTGTATGTGAATTATGATCCTTCTTAAGATAAGGGTGAGGATAACCTAAGTTACTTCATCCCCCTGAGATGTAATTTTTCTTGTCTCAATAAACGTGTCAAGAGTTAAAATCACTCTTATAGAAAATGAGAAAAAGGCACAACTTACCGATATCGATCTTGATAACGACCACCGACGTGTTGACGAAGGGCGCGAGGTCGTTGAGAGAGACCGTCGTGACCACATCCCTCGGTCTCCTCTTCTTGAGCTTCTCGTATTCCGCAAAACCTATTTCTTGCACTGATGTTCCTCCCAAATTCCCACGTTTGTATCTCAGCTGGAAAGGGCGCAGAGCGGTGAGTTTTGATGCGTTAGTTATTGGGGTTAATTTAGTATGTGAGGGTATGTAAATAATGTTTTTTTTTATCAGCTATGAAAAAAGGTTAATTTAGTATGTGAGGGTATATGATATTTTTTTTTTTTTTTTTTAAGTTTTATCAGCTATGAAAAGAGGTTAATTTAGTACGTCAGGGTATATAGATCATGTTTTTTTTTAAGTTTTATCAGCTATGCAGAGGTTAATTTAGTATGTGAGGGTATGTAAATAATGTTTTTTGTTTTATCAGCTATGAAAATAGGTTAATTTACTATGTGAGGGAATATAAATAATGGTTTTTGTTTTATTAGCTATGAAAAGATGATTTGTGACAGTTTGGGATTGGAAGAAGTAGACTAAATGTTATTTTTTCAGGTGTAAGTTTCTTCATAATGTTTAGTGGACGTATGGCTACCATGGTAGAACTTGAACAAATTCGACAGAAAGTTGGAGATACAATAAAATAGTATTTAGTGGCTTATTTGAATTAGGTTAAAACAAACTGCATTCACGCACACACACACACGCTCTCTCTCTCTCTCTCTCTCTCTCTCTCTCTCTCTCTTCTCTCTCTCTCTCTCTCTCTCTCTCTCTCTCTTCTCTCCCTCCCTCTCCCTCTCTCTCTCTCTCTCTCTCTCTCTCTCTCTCTCTCTCTCTCTCTCTCTCTCTCTCTCTCTCCCTCCCTTCCCTCCCTCCCTCCCCTCCTCCCTCCCCTCCCTCCCTCCCTCCCTCCTCCTCCCTCCCTCCCTCCCTCCCTCCTCCCTCCCTCTCCCCTCTCTCCCTCTCCCTCTCCTCTCTCCCTCCCTCCCTCCCTCTCACACGCACTTCAAACCACCATGTCCAGCTCCCCCCCCCCAGCCGCGAGGACAGCGCCCCTCCCTCCCTTCCTTCCAACCCATCCCCTTTACAACCCCTCCCACCTAACCTTAGCTCTGACGCGGGCGTGGGCGGCGGCGTGCAGCAGAATGGTGATTTTGTCTTCCACTTTGCCCGCCCGCGCTCCCGCATGGATCCTCACTGCAGACGCCCACACGGGTTCCACAGCAACGGCAGGCACGCCCACAGCGCCCGCCAGAAGGGTATATACGCCTACGTGAGCACCTAAGTCTATCACTGTGCAGGAGCTGAAATGGCAGAGAGGTGGACCGTTACTCTGTGGGGTTTTATGTGCCTTCCTCTGCGGTTCCTGTGGTCGTATATTATTATCATTATTATTATTATTATTATCAGTATTATTGTATTATTATTACTGTTGTTGTTGTTACTGTCGTTATTGTTGATTTGAAAACGACGTGAAGCTACTGAATGTCAAAGGTTGATTTTTTTAACATATAGAGATAAAGTATCACAACATGCATGTGTGTGATATGATATACTGTACGTATATATATACATACATATATATTCATACGTATGTATATACATATATATATATATATATATATATATATATATAATATATATATATATATATATATTTGTGTGTGTGTGTGTGTGATTGTTTGTGTGTGCGTGTGTGTGTGTGATTGTTTGTGTGTGCGTATGTGTTTGTTTGTGTGTGTGTTGATGTGTGTGTGTGTATGTGTGATCGTTGGTGTATGTGTGTGTGTGTGTGTGTGTGTGTGTGTGTGTGTGTGTGTGTGTGTGTGTGTGTGTGTGTGTGTGTGTGTGTGTGTGTGTGTGTGTGTTGTGTGTGAGAGAGAGAGAGAGAGAGAGAAGAGAGAGAGAGAGAGAGAGAGAGAGAGAGAGAGAGAGAGAGAGAGAGAGAGAGAGAGAGAAAGAGAGAAACAGTGTTAGACAGAGCATGGTAGACAGACAAACAGACAGACGAAGTTAGTCTATCAGTCTGTCTTCCTTTGTCCGTCGCTCTGTCTCTCTGTCAATCTATCAGTCTGTATGTCTATCTATCTGCTTGTCCCTCCGTCTCCATTCTGACATCAGCCTGACTGTCTGTCTGATCTCTCTAGATTACAGAATGCGGCAACAAAGAATCCCTCCCACGACCATCGGCACTCCCATGACTCTCCGTGGAATGAAATTTTCAATTAAGCGCGAGACGGCGAGGTAGCCAAAGGCCGGTGGAGAGGGCAGCGCCATCCCCGGGGCTCGAGGTTGGACGCCGGGGAATCCGATTCAATTTATTTGGTGTTTGTGTGTGTGTGTGTGTGTAATTGTTTGTTTGTGTGTGTGTGTGTGTGTGTGTGTGTGTGTGTGTGTGTGTGTGTGTGTGTAATTGTTTGTGTGTGTGTATGGGTTTGTGTGTGTGTGTCTTTGTGCATGTGTTTATGTGTCTGTATGTGTTTGTGTGTTTATTTACTTGTGTTTGTGCGTGTGTGTTTGTTTGTTTGTGTGTGTGTGTGTGTTTGCGTACGTGCTTGCGTGAGTGCGTATGTGTGTGTGACGCACAAATCTTTATTAGATTCCTTGGCGCAGGCAACTTAAAGTCAAGCAGAGTCACTCCAAAAAATCAGAGCTTGAGGCAAACTCTCAGCCGCGTGCCCTTGACAGCTGAGCAAACGTCGCGACTTGGCAGAGTTTGACTTTCCGCCGCGAGAGAAAACCTGAGACTCACGGGGGATATTTGACAGACTCAGGGGAATATTTGGCAGACTCACGGGGAATATTTGAGAGACTCACGGGGAATATTTGACTCTGACTAATATTTCTCACGGGGAATATTTGACAGACTCACGAGGAATATTTGAGACTCACTGGGAATATTTGAGAGACTCACGGGGAATATTTGACAGGGGAATATTTGAGAGACTCACGGGGAATATTTGACAGACTCACGGGGAATATTTGACAGACTCACGGGAATATTTGACGACTCATGGGGAATATTTGAGGACTCACGGGAATATTTGAAGACTCACGGGGAACCAGGAGGAATAATTTGACAGACTCACCGGGAATTATTTGAACAGACTCACACTCACGGGAATATTTGGCAGACTCACGGACAGACTAATATTTGAGAGACTCACGGGAATATTTGAGAGACTCACAGACTCACGGGAAATATTTGAAGAGACTCACGGGGAATATTTTGAGACTCACGGGGAATATTTGTGAGACTCACGGGGAATATTTGACTGACTCACGGGTAATATCTGAGACACTCACAGGTAATATTTGGCAGACTCACGGGTAATATTTGAGCGCTAGACGGAAGAGTGCCAGGATGTGAGGCTCCCAGGTGCCGTCGGTCAGGAGCTGGGCCGAGATGTACCGGTCGGTCGCCGCCGTGTGGGGACAGATCTGGTATTCTGGCGTCGTTCTGGGGGCGGGAGAGAGAGGAGAGAGGGAGAGAGAGGAGCAGGAGAAGGAGGAAAGGGGGGAGAGGGAGAGAGAGAGGAGGAGGAGTGGGAGGTGAGGGAGAAGAGGGAGAGAGAGGAAGAGGAGTGGGAGGAGAGAGAGGAAGAGTGGGAGAGAGAGGCAGGAAAGGGAGGTGAGGGAGAAAGAGGAGGAGTGGGAGGTGAGGGAGAGAGAGGAGGAGTATCGGGAGGATGATAGGATGGAAGCGAGAAAGGAAAAATACGTGAAGGATAAGAATTTAACGATTATTAGCGATAACGGTAACAAGAAATCAATATTAATAACAGCTATATCAGGAAGGTTTAATTTATGAACACACACACACACACACTCACCCACCCACACACACATACACACAAACACACCAACCCACCCACTCACCCACCACAGACACACACACACACACACACACACACACACACAACCAACCACCCACACCCACTCCACACACACACACAAACACCCCCCCCCCCACCACACCACCCACACCCACACAGGCCCCCTCCCCCCACCTGGTGACGAGGCAGAAGAGGCTCGGGACGGCAGGACGCGACATGTTGAGCGTCCAGAGCGTCCTCAGCGGGGGGTCGCCGGGCAGGAGCCGCTCCAGGAGGCTGTTCGGGGAGGAGCTGCTCACCAGGAGGTCGTAGTACTCCTGCAGAAGTAGATTTAGAAGTAGAAGTAGAAGTAGATTTAGAAGTAGAAATAGTACTCCTATTGAAGTAGTACTCCTTTAGAGGTAGATTTAGAAGTAGAAGTAGTAATCCTGTTGAAGTAGTACTCCTTTGGAAGTAGATTTAGTAGAAGTAGTACTCCTATTGAAGTAGTACTCCTTTGGAAGTAGATTTAGAAGTAGAAGTAGTGAGAAGTAGTACTCCTGCAGAAGGCATGAGAAGACTTAAAGGATAAAAAGGGCGGAAGGGAGGTGTCGTGTTGCGGGAAAATATTGCCACATCAGAGGTTCGATTTATATTATTATTGCAATAGTAAAATAAAATCATTACAATAAATAAAAGATCATTAATAAAACTAAAAGAATCATAAATAAAAAATAAATAATAATAAACTATATAAAACTAAATTGTAATAAATAAAAACGAAATAATAATAAACTAAATAATGAAACTAAATAGTATAGAAAACTAAAAAAAATTAAAAATAAATAATAAATAAAAAATAAATAAATAAAAAAAATAAATAAAAATAAAATAAATAATAAGTAAAAGATAATAAATGAATAATAAATAAAAGATAACAAATTAATAATAAATAAAACTAAATAAATAACAAATAAAACTAAATAAATAACAAATAAAACTAAATAAATAATAAATAAAACCAAATAAATCATAAATAAAAGATAAAAAATAATAAACAAAAGCTATTAAACAATAAATAACCAAAACAATAACAAAACACACAAACCCCCCATCGAGCCCCACCTTGACCCCAGCTCCTCACCTGCGAACCCCGCGCCGATTCCTCGAGCTCCTCCTCGGCCTCCGTCGCGAACGCCTCGCCCTGGCCCTCGCCCTTGAACTCCTCGAAGGCGAGCGGGTCGTGCGCGAGAGGGTTCGGGGCCACGGGGGTCGTCCTTCAACCCCGCCCCCCCTCGCCCCCCTCCGGATCGCCCCCGAGAGCAGAGAGCAGAGTGAGGCAAGCGACGAGCAGACCCAGGCCCAGCGCTGGCGGGAGGGGGGGAGGAGTGAGGGGAAGACGAAGGAAAATTGATGGTTGGATGGTTGGAAAATGAAAAAAAAAGGAAAACGGAGGATAAAAGGTGGTTGGAAGGTTGGAAAATGAAAAAAAAAAGGAAAACAGAGGATAAAAGGTGGTTGGAAGGTTGGAAAATGAAAAAAAGAAAAATGAAGAAAAAAAGATGGTTGGAAGATTTGAAAATGAAAAAGAAAAAAAACGAAGGTTGGAAAATGAAAAAAGAAGATGAAGGAAAATTGATGGTTGGAAGATTTTAAAATGAAAAAAAGAAAGAAAAACGAAGGTTGGAAAATGAAAAAAAGACGAAGAAAAAAGATGGCTGGGAGGTTGGAAAATGAAGAAAAGAAAGAAAAACGAAGATTGGAAAATATGAAAAATGAAGAAAAATGGGTGGGTGGTTGGAGAATGAAAAAAAACGAAGAAAAAAAGATGGCTGGAAGGTTGGAAAATGATAAAAAGAAAAGAAAACGAAGATTGGAAAATGAAAAAAAACGAAGAAAAAATATAGCTAAAAAATTGGAAAATTTAAAAAAGAAGAAAGAAAAACGAAGATTGGAAAATTAAAAAAAGAAAAAACGAAGATTGGAAAATGAAAAAAGAAAGAAAAAAAGATGGCTGGAAGATTGGAAAATTAAAAAAGAAGAAAGAAAAACGAAGGGAAAAACATGACTAGAATGTTGGGGAAAAACAGAAAGAGAAAAGAAAACGAAGTAAAAAAAAAAAAAGACAAACTCTCAGGTCAGGAAGTTTAGCTCGTTACTGCATCCGAGTCAGAGAAGTTGGGGAACCTATTTCAGACTTTTAAGATTTTGAAGCTTATTTAGTTAGCCTTTTTCTTCTCGACACAACTTAGCCAAGAGTGACTGAAAATCAGATCACAATACATACATAACTTGATCAACAATTTGTCAGTGTTTTACGTTTTACTTACATTTTTTTACTTACATTTAGTGAATTAAGCGTTTTACTTATATCTATTTAATTAATTAAGTTTTTTACTTACATTCAGTGAGTGTTTGACTATCATAACATAATAAAAATATATTGATAAACGTATGCACAGAATGTTTAAAAGTCGAAGACAGAGTAATATGTTTTTATTTTGTGAAAAATGAAAAGAAATCTACCTCGTTCTTATTAATGGAAAGTGATTAGCAAAGGACCGAGGAGAAGATGAACAAGGAATGTGGAAAGAGAGGAGAAAGGGAAGTAAGAAAAGACAAAAGGAGGAGAGAAAAAGAGAAAAGAAAAGGAGAAAACGAGAAAAGAAAGGAGAGAATGGAAAAGAAAGAAAAGACGAGAAAAGAAATAAAAAGAAGAGAGGAAACAGGAAGAATTAACAAAAAAACAAAAACAAAAACAAAAGGGACAGAGAAGATCAGAATAAACACGAAGATAGAAAGAAGATGCGAGTGAGAGAGAGGGGGAGAGGGGGGAGAGGGAGGGAGAGAGGGAGAGAGAGAAGGAAGGAGAGAGAGAAGAAAAAAAAAGAAAGGGAGAGGTAGAAGAGGCGAGAGAGAGGAAAAAAAGATATAGAGAAATAGAATGGGAGAGAGAAAAAAGGGAATAAGGGTAGCGAGTAAGAGTTAGAGAGGGAGAGAAAAGATAAACAGAGGACGTGGTCTGAACCGAAAAAATAAAGATTGGTATTGACGAAAGGAAGAAGAAAAGGAAGGAGAGAGAAAGGAGGAAAATCGATAGAGATGTGATAACGCTGCCAGCCATAATTAAGCGTAGGTGATCTACATGCACTTGGCTGCCTGCGCGTGAATATGTATGTACGAACACACACATTTTTGTGCGTGAATATGTATGTACGAACACACATTTTTCGACATCAGACATTCAGAATGATACGCGTATACTTTCTTTCTCTATTTTCTTTTCCTTTATTTCTCTTTTTATTTCTATTGATCTAACTTTCTTCTCTCTCTGTCTCTCTCTCTACTTCCTCCTACGTTCTTCTCTCTCTCTCTCTCTCTCTTTCGATCTATACTTCCTCCTACGTTCTTATCTCCCTCCCTCCCTCCCTCTCTTTCTTTCTCTCTCTCTCTTTCTTTCTC